GGGTTTGCGGTTTTCGGGTTTAGGGTCGTAGGCCATCCGAGTTTGGGGTCGAAGCACCCGCCCCTCAACGAGCTGTAGCTAGAGAACCCCCAACCATGTCTCTTCAGATCTCTTCAGGGTTCTATTTCAGCTCATGGGAACTCACAGCTCTCACAGACAAGTCGAGGGTAGCTACTGGACAACATCTGGTTTTTTGCTTTATCATAGCCCCAGGAAAGAGTTCTGGGTCTTGGGTTCCCTGCGTAAGGCTTGACCAAAAGTAGCTGTTCCCTTGGCTACCTTGGCACACACATCGAAGCTAAGCGCGCCAGAAAGCCGCGAGGGAGGGTGGAGGCGGGATGAGGGGGCATGTGCCGGGAAGAAGCTCGACAGTCCCGAGCTTGGCGGGAGGGTTCGGTGGTTTTGGATCGAGCCCTCTTTTTGCATCAGAGATCTGCAACCAGCGTGCGCCAGTGGCTTCGGGGATGTACCAGATCCCCTCATGCTGCTGGATTTCCGTGGACAGCGGGGGCATCCCGTCGATGCGAACGGTCACAGCCCCAGAATGGTTGCAGCCGTCCCAAGACAAAGCGTGCCAGCGCAAGTAGAGGGCGCTCCACCGACGAAACGAGCGCTCGAGCTCCAGATCTTGAAGAGAGTCACCGAAATCGATGCCCCAGATGCTTGCGCGGTGGTTTGCAGCCTTATCCCTGGTTACGATATATCGCCCCCTATCCCCGGTCTTCCCATACAGAGATGCAAACATCCAAACGGCATCATCAGGCTCGTCATCAGACACTACGAAGAGTGAGTTGCCAGACAGCCAGCTCTGCACCAATGAGTTTAGAGGCTTCTTTGGCCCCTTCTGTGCCCGCGCATCACCAGCAAAGATATACCGTTCCGGCATTACCAGCAAAGGAACCTCGCCCAGCTGGCGCAAATGCAGCATGGTGGCTTCGATCTGGTCGTGCCGAAAGTATGCCGCATGCAAGTTGCCTCGCTCTTGATGCTGAGAGGGCATTGATTACCAAGCTTCAAGAAGGACTTGCTTGGCATGTCTAAGAGACAAGCTACTAAAACAAGACGCAGTCTGCAACTTCACCTAGACCCCATGGGTTCAATCAGGCCGAAGATTTAGCCAGGTTGCTAATCTCAACGTCTCCCTCCCGGGAGAAGTTTTTGCCTCCGGCACCTCCTCGACTGCCTTCGGCAGCCTGACGTCGCTGCACGGCGCCGCGGTATCCTGCCTTCGCTGGTGTCTCCCACAAGCGAAGCCCTCATCCAACAGCCATAAACACATCGAATCCTAGACTAAAGACCCCTAAGGGTCCCATGTACCCAAATAGTACATACTTTAGCCCCAAAGCACCCAAATAGGGATTACTTTAAGGCCAAACTTATATACTACTTGGGCACATGGACCCTTAGGGTCGACTGGCCAAGCTTCATTCGGCCCATCCACAAAGCACGTCGGGCCTACGCCGTCTCCATCCTCCAGCCTTTCGCTCAGTCGACGGCAGGTCTCCGGCTTCAGCAGCGCTGCAGCCCCCCTGCGGGCCATATCAACCTGGGCATCAGCTATTTAGCTAGGGTTTAGGGCTTAGGGTTTAGGGCACTTAGACTTCGGGACTAGGACGCACTCAATACCAGAAGCTACCATGACTTGCTTCTCTTGCAGGGCCCTACAGTAGCATAAACTCCCATGGCTTTGGACGGCGGAAATATGTCGCATATTTCCTGTCCGGCTATAGAGTGGTCAGGGTTTTTTCAGAAATTCTACAGACTCTGTTGGGTCGGATCCTTGATGTACAGAGACACCGGAAGAACAACATCAAGAGCCGCTAGAATCGGGGAAACAAAAAACAACATCCGACACCTGCCTTCCCACCTTCTGTGGAGTCCGGGCTTTTAAGGATTCAGGAACCTCCAGGGATTTAGGGAGTAAGCATCTTTACCAGGAGGGTCTGGAATCCTTAGGCCTTAAACCCTAAACCCTATATAAACTATAAACCCTAAGCCCTAAACCCTATAAACCCTAAGCCCTAAACCCCATAAACCCTAAGCCCTAAACCCTATAAGCCCTAAACCCTAAGCCCTATAAACCCTAAACCCTATAAACCCTAAGCCCTAAACCCTATAAACCCTAAACCCACAACTTGCAGCACGAGTTGCATGACTTGCCTCCGGAGAAAGCCTCCGCAGCTGGCCAAGAGGGCGCATCACAACTTCACCACGAAGTCCCGGAAGCTCTTCACAGGACAGCGCCTCTAACAGGGCCGGGGGACTCCCTATGTTGTTTTAGCTTGGGGGGGGGGGGTTTAGGGTTTAGGGTTTTTTCTCCGATCCTACTTAGCAAGGTTTAAGGTTTATAGGGCTTAGGTTCAGGGTTTGGGGTGTGGAAGGAGTCCGGGTCCAAAACACGACGCCCTTAACTTGCTCAAGCCAAGGCCTACCAACGTCGTGGAGCCCAAAGCCAGAGAAGCCAAACATACCTACTCTCAGAATCTGGATCGCCGCGTATTTGCTGGATAGCCTACCTGACGACAAGGGTCCTATGGGGAACCTGAAGTAGCCGAAAAAGGAGCTACATAAACCACGGAAGTCTCGGCAAATCCTCTATCCTGGAATGCGTGTCGAACTGTGTGCACATTCCGACCGTGGAATTCTCGGCACATCCTCTATCTGGAATGTGCGTCGCACGGCCTCGGAGATCTTGTCCAAGCACGTGCTAGACATCTCGAGTTCGGTCTTTGACAGCAAGGTGAGCACCTGACTTTGGGGGATAGTACCTAAACCCTATAAACCCCCTAAACCCTATGATAGGGAGAGATTAGCTCTAAGAGCCCTTCCTCGTAGACTGCAGGCTCTGGGGCTTTTGAAGGCGACTTCATAGCAGTCTTCGACACCGAGCTGCCCAACTTAGAGTCTCTTTCCCTCAGACTCTAAATAGCCCAAAGTAGGTGCAGGGTTTAGGGTTTAGGGGTTTAGGGGTTCGGGGGTTTAGGGGTTTAGGGTTTACCATTTATAGACTTTAGTTAGACCCCTAAGTAGGTGCCATTTGTATACTTGGAGCCTTAGGGTTTGCAAGCGGCAAGATGAGCCTAGGCCTGGATGCATGAACCAAAAGCCCCACGGATTCCAAAACCTTCGTTGCACCCGCCCTCGACTTCTTTCCGAAACCCTGGAACCACCGAAGCTAGGCCCCGACTAAACCCCACAAACCCCCTAGTAAATCCCACAAATCACAAACCCTACCGACTCGACACCCGATCCGAAGCCCTGGACCTTTGTTCAAACTCTCTAAGACCCGTTTGGGGCCTGGGATCAAGGCCCACCTTTGGGGCTTGGGGTTAAGGCCCACCGTAAATCCCGGAACCCCGAAACCCCCTTCTTGGCCACCTCCTCCTGCAGCGCCGGCTTGTCAGCAAAGCCGCGGAGCAACGTCGCCACTGCGGTGCCGTTGAGCCGCGCTTGCCGGCGACAGACCACCGGATGCAGCCTCTGGAGTTCAAGCTTTGGAGTGTATCCCTAGGCTCCACTATAGTTCCCTTTTGTGGTATACACTTGGGACGTAAAAAGGTAATCCCAAACATGAACTACTATGGGCCCTATGGGTAGGGTGTCGAGTGTTTATTGCCTCCCACCTAGCTGGGACGAAGCCTACAGCTTAGAGTGTAGAGCGTAGGGTTGAGCTTCAGGTTCCGGTTGTGAACCGGGTTTATGGGATGTAAGGAAGGCTAAGGGTTTGAGGCACACATCTCTCAGAGTCTGCCCAGAGGCTTCATTATACTTCCTTTTCGTGTATTTTGTTCTAGTTAGGATCCTTCAAGGTAATCCAACAAAGGAACTACTACTGCTGATGCTCTTAATCCTGCATACCTAAACCTATGGGAATTATGGTAGATTCCTTATTATGGGTAATGCAGGATAGATAGATAGATAGATAGATAGATATATATATATATACATATATATATATATATCATCAACCGTATGGAAAACCTTACAGACCCCTTAAGCAATGCTCTGTCCAGAAGGATATGTGTGTGTGTGTGTATATATAGAGAGAGAGAGAGAGAGAGAGAGAGAGAGAGAGTCTCTCATGAACCGCTCTAGACCCTTACCCCGCATCTCCAGGTTTAAGTTTAAGGCTTAAGTTCCAGGTTTAAGTTCCAGGCGTAGGCTTAAAGTTTAAGTCTAAGGTTTAAGTTCCAGGTTTAAGTCTAATTTTTAAGTTTCTGGTCTAAGTTTCGAGCTTAAGTTGCAGGTGTAAGTTCCAGGTTTAATTCTTAAGTTCCAGGTTCAAGTTTCAGGTTTAAGCTCCAGGTTTAAGTTACTTAAGTTTAAGGCTAAAGATCCAGGTTTAAGTTTCAGGCTTCAGTTCCAGGGTTAAGTCCCAGGCTTAAGTTTAAGGTTTAAGTTTAAGCTTTAAGTTCCAGGTTTAAAGTTCCTGGTTTAAGTTTAACTTTTAAGTTTCTGGTTAAGTTTCACGCTTAAGTCCCAGGTGTAAGTTCCAGGTTTAAGGCTTAAGTTCCAGGTTTAAGTTTCAGGTTTGAGTTTAAGGCTTAAGTTCCAGATTTAAGCTTACGGCTTAAGTTTCAGGCTTAAGTTCCAGGTTTAAGTCTATGGCTTAACTTTCAGGTTCAACTTTAAGGTATAAGTTTAAGGCTTTAAAATAAACTTATGGTCTTGAGAATGTTTTGGGCTTCGGGTGGCCTAAAGAAGGCAAGGTTAGGGGTTCTAATACTACGGAGGCCTCGATAATTAGAATAGCATGTTGGGGTATATACTATACAAAAAATATAATAATGATAATGATAATAATAAAACTAATATTTAATAATACGAGTAATAAGGGACCCCCCCCAAAATAGTATTGCTAATTAGTTTGGCCCCTATAGTAGGTTCACGGGGCCTAAAGCCAACACTCTTCTGTTCAAAGGTCTGTGGCAAGATTTCTGAAGAAAGGAACGGTTACAGAACGGCTGCCATAGCAATCGGCCATCGATTCCCTCGACGCCGCAACTCCAACACCTAGTGCGCCACCTACTACACCGACAGCCCTGCCACCATTGCCAAACGCAAGGTCCCCTAAACGCTCCTAATTACCCCCAAGCAGGCACGCAAAGGGCGTCCTCAACGCGACAAGGGCACCATGCAACAACAGAAAGACATCATTGCAGGGAACCCTTGAGACAGTGGAGAGTCCTTAAAATTAAAACAACTTTAAACCAAAGTCGAAAACAACTTGTGGTATTATGAGTCATAAAAGGCTTTTATTCCGAGGGGCTTCTCTGGGTTTATTAAATTGCGCAGCCAAGCAACAAGTCTTCGAAAAATCTCTGAAGCCGACTCGAGTCACCTGCTGCGGCCAACGCTGTCAAAAGCGGCTGCAGCGTCCGCATCTTCACCTAGAGCTCCTAGAAGCACTACAAACAGTAGGGGTTAAGGGCTTCGGCTATATCCATGAAGCTCCTGGACACCTTGATTATGAACAGCAGGGTGGTCAGTTAAACCTCCAGATCAGCCCGACAATCCGGTGGGAAGCCCTGTGTACACCGCCCGCGCCCGACGCAGTATAGCGTCAATATGCCTACTGCTAGCTATTTAGACAACGGTTCTAGGGTTAAGAATTCCAGAATCCCAAAAAGCGTATGTATGCAATTCTGTGTACACATGCATATATTGAAATGTGTCGATCGTTCGACCGATCAAACAAACTAAGACTACCTATTTATATGATTTATATGTGTACCTATCTCTCTGTTGTCTATCTGACGATCTGTCTATGTGTCTATCTATCGGCCTGCCTGCCTACCTACCTACCTACCTACCTACTTACCTACCTACCTGCATCTGCCTGTCTAACTATCTATCTATCTCTCTCTCTATCTATCCATGTATCTATCTACCTCTCGATATACCCACCTGTCTCCCCATCTGCCTACCTACCTACCTACCTACCTACCTACCTACCTACCTACCTACCTACCTACCTATACCTACCCACGATCCACCCCCGCGCACACATCCCCTCCTAGGGAAATGCAGCTGTGGAAATTGGCAAAGAGAAGGTGCTCAGGTTATAAACGGCATAATCTTAACATTTAGGATTGGGGCATTTAGTTTTGCAGGTGTGGAACGCTTGACGCTTGCGGTGCCTGGGATTGGAGGATTTTGTACAAGGTCAAAAGCTCGAAAAACTTGCGCTGAACTGCTGGATCAAGCCACGTGGTTGATGGAAACGGCATGCTGCAGAATCGCTTCGGCGGCATCCCAGTTCCCTACATCCACGAGTTCCGCAACAAGCATCGATAGAGTAGCCTCCCAAACTGCTTCTACCCCCGAAACCTGATGCCTTGCTAGACTAAGTACTCTGTGATCATCGTTTGTATGTCTGTCACCAAACCTCACGCCCGAACCCAAGACTAGCTCACCGCCATAACCCGCCTCATGAGAGGCCCAAACCACAGGACGATAAAGCCCTAAGAATCAGCACACCTCACATTCGAACCGCCCTATTTTCCCGAACAGCCCTATCAACCGGAACCCCTATTTTATTTCGGAAAAAAGCTGCCTCGCTGAAGGACTCCTCACTGCAGGACAGGATCTCAAAGCACAGTTGCAAGACCTGGTCCTGAACTGACACGGGTCTGAGTTTGGGCTCCTGTCTAGATCTGGCTTTTTGCCTTGCTTGCTGTCGCTGTTGACTTAATGAATAGAGGCCCAGGCACTAACCTCGCAGACACAACTCCTCGCAGCAGACGTTGCAACGCCTGGTGGCGGTTTACACAGACTGCGGGGTTTCATATACTTACCGCAGTATACTAGTTCCGAACGCACCCAAAGTCTGGGATAACCCTAAAATCTATAACCCTAAATCAAGGAAAGCTTAGGATTTTGTGGTTTAAGGGTTGGGGCTTAGGGTTTAAGGTCACGCACTCTAGACTCTAGGCTACTAGGAGACCTTCCGAAAAAGGTGCGATCTAGGGCTGTAGCATAGCCCAAAATTCTACAGACACCCGAAATGAAATACTCTCCGAAGGACCCCGAAGTCAAAGTCAAACCCTCCCCCTCCCTCCCAAAAACCCAGCCATAGACTTATAACCTAAACCCTATAAGCCCTAAACCTTATAAGCCCTAAAGCCCTGAAAGATCACATTCTCGGCCGATATCGCCTGCTCCAAAGCTGGAAGCGGCCAGCCAGACCGCAGCGCTTCGCGAAGCAAAGAAATTGCAGAGCCTGCTGTTCTTACAGATTTAGGGTTTACGGCTTAGGGATATGCACAAAGATTCTTGTAGGTTTCGTAGGGTTTATAACGGCTAGTTCTCTGGCTCATGAGGGCTATAGGTCCTCGTACAGTCGTACAGCTTTTAAAAGGGATTCTGAGGTTCTATCAGGGTGTGCGTATATGAAGCAGCGTTTGTATATTGGGCTCGTTAAAAGTGTTGGTGAATGTATATCTGGGGCGCAAAAGCGGGGACGTCAGCAATTAACAATCTTACTTCGTACAGGGCATGAGTATAGAGATGCTGCCTCCTAATTCAAGGGCTTCGGGGGTGTACCTGTGGAGCCTTGTTTTCTCCGACTAGTACCATCTCTCCAGTTGCATATCGATCCTTAGACCCAAAATCCGAAAATCCTGAACCCCTGAAACCCCGAAGCCCTAGATTCTAAATCCGTAAACATAAGTCCTTGGAAAAGGTAATACCTGTTTAAGGACGTATATATGGATATCAAAGAGGGTAGGTGGTTAGGGTTCAGGTACACCCTAAAACGCGCCTGTAGAGCCTCCCTCCAGAGTGTGCGCCACCTTCCTGGACGAAGTCTTCAATCTTAGCCATATCAGGCATAGAAAACTGTACGGTTCTTAAGGATTGAGGACTTGGGCATTACAAGATTTTGGGTTCAGGTTTTAGGGTCGAGGGCTTTGAAAACTAGTCTAAGTTCCTTGAAGTGCTCAAACAGGGTTCTATAATAAGGGTGTTTGAGGGCGTTAGTTCTAGGGAGTACTAGAGATGCCCAAATGATCTTAATGACTCTAATGGGGTTTGGGGTATCGCCATATAACAATGGACCCTGACCCTCAGGAACTATTCAGGCCCCTTTCTAAGGCTTGGAACATGAAGCTAATCATCCCTGCAGTCCGAACTCAAACAGCGCGCTCCGGAGTTGAGTTTGTCATGCGTCCGATGTTCCATATGAATCACGAATACACACATACCATATACAAATACACGCATGCGCTACATCTGTTTCTGTCCAGAATCAGAACTCCGATGACGCACAGACTGACACATCCGGCAAGACCGTAAACTGCTCGTAGACCTGGAAACTACGCCCCAAACTGAGTTCCTACTAGCTCCTACTACCCTCCTAGGCAAACTCATATAGGGTTGCGTAGTCGTAGACCTAGGTGACCCGCAAACTCTTTCTCAAGGGCATCTGAAGGCTCCGCTGGAGCTCGGCTTGTTGTCGTTTCAGCTCCTTTCTTGTCCATTTCGGCCTCTCTGCAGCCATCTGCAGCTGCTCGTCCTAGGGGGGTTCTACCATCCTGACGTCTCGGGCCTTCGAATGTACATTGTTTCCGGTTGATGCGACGACTCAGGATAAGACTTGGGATGTCGGGGGGGGCATGTCTTCGCAAGTAGTATGCAAGTTGCCGGTCGCGCATGCCAGGAGCGACAGCCGAAGTTACCGGGATGCCCTGTTCACAAGAAGAGCAGAGCCAACCTATGAAGGATCATCCGGCGTGGTACGCGGGGGGAAACGGGAAACTACAGTAATACTTAAGCATAACCTCTCCTTACATATATATATATATATAGATATATAGATATGTATATATATATATATAGATATATATATATACACACATATATATATACACATACATATACATATTTATGCAATGGACTTACACTCACAACCATGCTTACGAAGGGCCCTGCTCCAGTCTCGATCGCCAGATCCACGAGGGCCATCCCCCAGGCCCCCCCGGACGAAAAGCGGCGAATTCAAACCAACAAACTTAGGGCCTAAGTTTGTGTGTAGCCTCAATTAAGCCCTCGGTTTAGGGTTTAGGGTTAAGCCCTCGAGCTCCACAGCCCTAAACCCTCTGGCTTTTTACCCCCCAAGCCCAATTCCTAAGAGCCCAAGGGCCTAAGAATTAGACGTAACTCCTACCCTCCTAATTACCCTAAACCCAAGTACCTGAGTGCTGGATCCATTGGACCCTTGGCGAACCCGAGGGTGGCTGACTTGTCTGAGGGCCCTCCTGCCAGGAAGGCGCGACCTGCTGCAGCAGCTCCAGCAAAGACTCACGTGACCCCACCGCAGAGGCCGCACGCCTTCGGCAACCTTGAAATGTTTGATATATATATATATGTATGTATGTATGTATGTATGTATGTATGTATGTATGTATGTATGTAATATATATATACATGTATATTTATTTAGTTATCTATTTGTATGTGTGTATGTATGTATGTATGTATGTATGTATGTATGTATGTATGTATGTATGTATGTAATATATATATATACACATGTATATTTATTTAGTTATCTATTTGTATGTGTGTATGTATGTATGTATGTATGTATGTATGTATGTATGTATGTATGTATGTATGTAATATATATATATACACATGTATATTTATTTAGTTATCTATTTGTATGTGTGTATGTATGTAT